GTATTTTTCCTTCATAGCTTGTTCTCCGTCTTCTTTTTAAATAGGGAGCCCATTTTCTTTCAGCACTTTTATTTCCATGACTGACCAAAACTTGTTTTTCTCATGGCTCTCTCTTGTCCCTCTGCAGCAGACATATGGTGAGCAATATGTTTGGAATAAAATCACATTATCGAATCGCAACACATGTAGAATCGTGATAATCTTGAGAATTGTAATACATATCGTATCGGCACGTAAGTATGGTGATAATATTGTATCGTGAGGTCCCTGGCAATTCCCAGCCCTACCAGGAACCATTATATTGTTTAATTGAGACAAACATAGAAGGAGGTGATTAAATGCAGAGCCATCATTCAGCCTGTTCCACAGAGCCTTGCAGCCCTGCAACCAACCATCGATTCACTGGCCTCAATCAGTGATCTCTCTCTCAATCTCATCTCATTTCCCTCAGCCTCGGGTGAGGGGGGGGGGAGTACTGTTCTGTGATCCCAGGCCCTGTGTTTGATATCAGTAATACACACAGACTGTCTCAGTGTCATTTCATAAATCTGCTTCTGTTTGGGGCCATTAAACTAGAGCCCATTTATAGGCTGGTTAAATCAGCCAGTCAGATGGACCAGGGACCGTATCACCCTCCAGCTCCACACTGCAGCTGTTGGACCAGGGCCTAAGCAGGCAGTAGGATGGGACCCTAGCCCTCCCCTGGCAGCAGCTCCTAACTCTAGGGAAACTCTAGACCGACCGCGATTCAAACCCGGGTCGTTTGGGGAGTCCTCATGTCTCAGGCATGGTTATCCATTATCAGGTGAATGTGGTTTCATAAATCCTCTGTTACACAGGCTGCACTCTTAGAAAAAAAGTTGCTAAGTAGAACCATACAGGGTCTTCGGTTTGTCCCAAAAGGGGAACACTTAATGGTCGGGGGTAGAACCCTCTAATAATAATAATAATAATAATAATATGCCATTTAGCAGACGCTTTTATCCAAAGCGACTTACAGTCGTGCGTGCATACATTTTTGTGTAAGGTTCTTCATAGAACCCCATGTATATGGTTCTACCTAGAACCCTCTATGAAGGGTTCTACCAAGAACCATTTTATCTTTGGAGGGTTCTTCCTAGAACCCTCTATGAACAGTTTCACCAGCCTTATCATCCTTTGAAATGTAATTATGTATGACAATACATGACATATATCATAAGGCCTTTCTCTGAGGGCCTAGTTATATACCCTGACACAGTGGTGTTAGGAATCTCCTAGTTTACAGACCACATCAGACCTGCAAGTCACATTATGCTGGCTTGCAAAGTGATGTGTAATTCCTATTGGAATCCAGCCAGAGTTAGGATATCCAACTAGTGGAATCGTTAATCACCCGCAACCTGCATTCAGAATGACTGCCAAGGTAGGGAAGATTGAATACTGAGACTACCTCAATCATCTAAACTGGAACAACCATCTCAGTAATGGGTGCAGCAAATCCAACTAGTAACAGATTGGATTAGTTTAGAAAACGGTGTGTTATTTATCTCTGTGTAGCATTAAATTAATCAACCAATCAATGTACATGCAAAAACACAGATATTACAGTAAAACGAACAATTCGGGAAAATCTCCCTACAATAGAGCATGCTGGAAGGGTTCTATGTAGAATCCTCCTTGCCTTCCAAAGAATCCTCCTTGCCTTCCAAATAATCATCAAAGAACCCTTTCTTCCAAAAAGGGTTCTTAGGATATTAAAGGTTTTAAGTAGAACCCTTTGCCTTACAGAGAACCCTTTCTTCCAAAAAAGGGTTCTTCTGATCAAAACGGTTCTTGGTAGAACCCTATCCCTCCATAAAAAGCCCTTTTGGAAGCCTTTTTTCCAAGTGTGTGTAACAAGAATGATAGGGGAGTAGCCACTATAGGGTAGTGTAGGGGAGGAGCCATTAGACAGACAGCCACTAGAGGGTAGTGTAGGGGAGGAGCCATTAGACAGACAGCCACTAGAGGGTAGTGTAGGGGAGGAGCCATTAGACAGACAGCCACTAGAGGGTAGTGTAGGGGAGGAGCCATTAGACAGACAGCCACTAGAGGGTAGTGTAGGGGAGGAGCCAATTAGACAGACAGCCACTAGAGGGTAGTGTAGGGGAGGAGCCATTAGACAGACAGCCACTAGAGGGTAGTGTAGGGGAGGAGCCATTAGACAGACAGCCACTAGAGGGTAGTGTAGGGGAGGAGCCATTAGACAGACAGCCACTAGAGGGTAGTGTAGGGGAGGAGCCATTAGACAGACAGCCACTAGAGGGTAGTGTAGCTGTGTCTGTTAGCTCAAGCTAAGACACCTGTTGGATGAACACCAGTATTCACATGTACAACTGAGAGAGAAAAGTCCTCTAAACAGGAAAACATGACAACGGTTATATCAACAGAACCTGCTGGTACAGTATGGGAAGGTGTGTGTGTGTGTGTGTGTGTGTGTGTGTGAGTGTGTGTGTGTGTATATGTGTGGTCTTGTGTG